CGCGATTTAGTGTAACAATTTCACAAATACCTAAATAAAGGGTACATCCCCCCTAGGATACACAAAGGACTTAATACACACATTGAGTATCAACATTAAAATTTCCACAGAATTTATATCATTGCGGCAGGCTCTCAAGACGCTAATTTTATCGGAAGTGTTCTTCATCGCCCATCCGTTTTTTACGGTACATAAAGCTAAAATCCCTTTTTATTTATCAGTTTTGTAGATCTAACCAGTTAGGCTTTCTAGTTTGAGGAAATGGTTAAACTTCTTCCCATGTTTTCTGATTATTTAGTGTAATTTACTTTGGCTGCACATCCTTTGATTAAAAATCAACGAGTACAGCTTTCAAAACTTTTAAGCACTATGTGGTTGGTCCTCAGGCGCAAAGGTGAGAATCTTTCTACCGAAGGCAAGCGTATGCTCATCAAGTTCTCTTTTGAGTAAAAAATGCGTATAGGATGTCTAAAAAGCATCTCTTTGTCGTTCATTTTACTGAAAAGTATTGAAATCCCTCAAAGTTGGACTCGTGCAGACAGTGGAATATGAAACGTTCTATGTAAGCTGTGCAGAGCTTCGCCTTTGTGTGAAAGTTCGTTTTTGTATGCTAAAGATGCTCCCAGTATATTGCCATCTCGGATTTTATGTAACACTGTCGGTAATATTATTCTGCATAAACCAGCTTCTCCTCAAAGTGGAGCTAGATTACGCAAATCTATTATGCACTTGTTTTATACGACAGAAATTTTATCCTTTATTTTTTTGCTTAAAATAGTCTTACCTGTCCTATTATTATACTCTATGTCTCTTTACAGGACTATATCAGCAATGATTAGCAAGTTGTCCTTAAACGTGTGTTTTCGTGACTGATAATTGTGATTATCACCATGAAAGCAAAACAGTTTGTTGACTCGTCACCTTAGCAACCGGTTTATTTCACTAAGTTAATTTTAGGTTAGGTTTAACTTGTTCAAATGAGCAACGGGCTGATATTATGGGTATAATAGTTATAAGTAATCCACTTATCAACACTTTCGCAATCAAAGTGGATTTTTTGGAAGAGACGGCTGGAAACAATGCGTCGTACATGATATTGAAGGCAGATTACCATGTTTAATTATGCCAGCTTCTTTAAGTAGGGTATTTGCACACCGATTTATATGTTCCCATCGATACATTAAGCAGTCCTAATTACCTTAAAAAGCGTCCTCTCCAGGTGGGACACTAAACAATAACAATCCCTTTAATGTTAACTCTGTCAAAGTTCAAAGCAGATTTAACTTATGTTTTTCATCCGTTCGAATTCCTGTTCCTTATTTAGGAAGGACGACTAGCTCTAACATATTTCTATTAAACTATTTTTGGTCGTTGAACGAACAGTAACTTATCCCTGAGAAACTAGTTTTACGTATACCTGGTAATCGAATAAATGATAGGTGAAAGATTGACCATCAAAAAGGATACTAAAAGGAAATTTTTGAAAATAGGATACTCTAAACCAGCGATAGGATGCTCTGACGTCTATTTTTTTCGCAAAAAGAATTTTATTGCCCCTAAAGTGCTGCCTGAATTCGTACGTTAATCATATTGCACCCGAAAGCAAGGATAGCTTGCTCCGGCTGTCCAGATAGGGCTTCGTCTCAGTTCGACTAAATGCCAACGGTCCACGGAACATAAACCGTCTGTTGACCACCTACGTTGGGTGCGTGTCCGTGCTTGCGTTTGGGCCACACATGGTGGTCAGGGCTATAATAAGCAGGATGAAAGCTGAATAAGCCCGAGGCTTATCTGTACCCATCTCCTCTCACTCTCCGTTACCACCCTTTTAATATATATATATATATGTAGCTCAGAGAGGGTATGCAGTCCGAGTTGATATAATGAAAATATAGAAGAGGTTCTTCGGCAAAGTCGAGTTGTACTCGTGAATTTTCGAGCTGGTATCACCAACCCGTCGTCAGACGAAATGAAAACGAGTGAGAAAGTTATGTTGCCACAGTAGACCAATTAGTGTAATAGTCAGAACAAACCACTGACGTGCGAGGGGAGGTGGGTGGGCTCCCGAGGTCATGGTTGTTCCCTGGGTGATGGGCAGGGAAGGGAGAGGAGGCTGAACAATTACGGCACACCGTGCTGGAGGGGGAGGGTGGGTGGTGAATCAGTTGGAATGCGGGCGGCTGTATTCGCGGTCGTTGATGCGTGAATTAGGGCTGGGGGCATTCATTCGTGAACGTAGACCCTCGTAATGGGCATCTAAGTCAACGTGGCGGTTGATACTACCTGCATGGGAGTGCCAAGCCTCCAGAAATTCCCTCGCTTGCTCTGTGTTAGCCATGGCGACGACCTCAGTGCCATCCCAATTGAATCGGTGGTCGTACTCGAGTGCATAGGAGACGACGAGGGACAGGGGGTCTTACCAACGGATAACTAGTTTTTGTTCGTTGATACGGGTGCCCAGGCATCGACCTGTATGGCCAACATACACGCACGAGCAATTAGCACACGGAATGCGATAAATTTCATTCGCTTTGTTGCTTTTTGGGGATGGAATTCTTCACTCGAGATAGTGCTGCGCGTAGTGAAGATGCCGGTTTGTGGGCAACGTGAATACCTAAGCGGCTGAATTGCCGGGCGTTTATTTCAGAAGTTCCACGCATATATGACAATGAATAGAATTTTCGCGTCATAATCTTTTCGTTAGGGGTGGAGTCTTGCGATTGCGTCTGGTGCCTGAGACAGTTCTTTACAAAGTTGATCGGATATCCGTTAGAGCGGAATAACCGATACAGGTGAGCAAGCTCTTTGTTCAGGAGATCGTTGCTGTTACAATAACGGTAGGCCCGGTGGAACAGAGTTCGGACGCAGCTTCTTTTTTGAGCTGCAGGGTGGTTGCTTCCATAGTTGAAGATTATCTCAAAGTGAGAATCTTTCCTATGGACGCTTGTTGCCAGGCTACCATCGCTATACTTCTTTATTATCACGTTTGGCATTTGCAAACTGTCTCCAATTGCCTCTTCACGGGTGAACTGTATAGCTGAGAAGACGTCATTCAGTCTCTGGTGAAGCCGATCGATTCCGCACTTCTTTATTATGACAAAGGTGTCATCAACGTAACACTGCCATAGTTTAGGCTTGATAGTTTGGAAAAATGTCTCTTCTAGTCGCTGCAAAACTAGTTCGACGAGCAGTCCTGATATTGGTGAGCCCATCGGGGTTCTCTCTAGCTGCTGGTAGTACCTATTATCAAATTAGCAGTAGTTCTTGAGGCATAGATTTAGCACTTCTATAACATGCTGCGTTGGGATCTCAATAGGATTGTTCTGTAGGCGTTGGGATACGCATTCAATCGCCAAATCGTGTTGTATGGAATAAAACAAGGCAACGACGTCAAAGGACAGGAAGCATTCATCGGTACTTACTTGGAGGCCTTGTACCCTGCGGAGGAACGCTTGAGAGTAGCTAATGCTGTAGTCCGATCCATGAGCGAGCCGCTTCAGACGACTGTATAACCACTTAGCTATATTGTAAGTGGGTGATCGGATAAGTGGCACTATAATCCTTAGAGGGACATCCACATTGTGCAACTTTGGGAGGCCATACGCGTGTGCGATGTGCGGATCACTGAGGGTCATCAACAAGGAGTCATCTGGACCGATACCTTTCAAAGGAGCGAGCTAATTAACCTTCTTTTTGATGCCTGGGCACCCGTAGCAACGAACACAAACTAGCTATCCGTTGGCGAGACCCCCTGTCCCTCGTCTTCGCCCATGCACTCGAGTACGACCACCGATTCAATTGGGATGGCACTGAGGTCGTCGCCATGGCAAACACAAAGCGAGCGAGGGAATTTCTGGAGACTTGGCACTCCAATGCGGCTATCATCCACCGCCACGTTGACTTAGATGCCCATTACGAGGGTCTACGTTCACGAATGAATGCCCCCAGCCCTAATTCACGCATCAACGACCGCGAATACAGCCGCCCGCATTCCAACTGATTCACCACACACCCTCCCCCTCCAGCACGGTTTGCCGTAATTGTTCCGCTCCTCTCCCTTCCCCGCCCATCACACAGGGACCTATAATGACCTCCGGAGCCCACCCACCCCCCTCGCACGTCAGTAGTTTGTTCTGTCCTAGTACACTAACTGGTTTACTGTGGCAACAAAACTTTCTCCCTCGTTTTCATTTCGTCTGACGACGGGTTGGTGTTACCAGCTCGAAAATTCACGAGTACAACTCGACTTTTCCGAAGAACCTCTTTTATTGTTTCATAAATATATATATAGCTAAGAAAAGCGAATATGCGCGTCCCCGGACATAATTGAAAGGAAAAGGCGATCTCGGGAACCATAGTTTTACTGTCCTGACGTTTAAAAAGCATACAACCTTCCATCGTCGGAGGTGAGTGTGTTATCGCGCCTCACAGTATTTATAGTGGGTGACAGTCATGTCAAAACGGGTTTTCTTACATATGAAGTCAGGGCGGCAGGGGGGAAGGGGCGGGGGGAGTCCTAAAGCGTCTTTTCGCCGGATGAGGGGGTGGTGGATCAGCTTTAGTGGTCATCAGCCTCATGCACACATGAACTGTGGCGGGCGGGGGAGAGGGAGGGTGGGGGGGGGGGGAGTGACGGAATGTACTCAATCCACATCGGAGGCTGGTGTTGAGACGTTGGTGGTCGGCGTTCGTGTCTTCATTGACCGTAGCTGTCGTCCAAGCCTGACAATCTTGTTTACGCCGCAACGACTGTCCGTTTTCTCGTCAGCCGGACTAGTAGATGGACCGGCTGTGGTGAGCACTGCGCCTTCGTCGAAACCCGGTTGAGGGGTGGCTAAGTGTGTATCCGCCATGGACTCGCTCATGTCTGGCTTCATGTTTAGCCTGGGTGCACGTCTGCTCATTTGTTTACTGAGATGCACTCGAAGGGCTTGATATGCGACGGGAAGAGCCACACAGCGGTTGATGGAGGTTGTCCCCGTGTGCCAAGCCTCGATTGTTTACCTGGCTATGCGATCGTTTCCCCGGCCCATAATTTCGGCATGCTGAAAGGCGAACGTGTGTCCGGCATCGGCGCAGTGTTCGGCCACCAGAGATAAAGTGTCCATTCGCCTTACTGCCCTCATGTGTTCTCCAACACGGGTCTGTAGCCGGATCCAGTAGATGACGCTCGTGGTTTCACCTAGTTGTAGAGGGGCCTTAGGTCTCATGACCAGATGTCGAATTGTTGACTCCGGTCGGTGGGCGATGCGGATCCCCTGCGGTCTTAAGAGACGCGAGACGGCCTCAGAAACGCCGTCGATGTATGGAAGCGCTCGCCATATTGTTGGTCGTTCTGTCACCAAACGTCGGCTCGGTCCGGCCTGTCTGCCGCGTTCGATGAAGTTGCGAGGATACCCGTTGGCCATGAAGAGGCGCTGGAGGTAACGTAGTTCTGACCTTCTGTCGTCCGGCTCGCTGCAGTGTGTTTCTGCCCTTCTGTAGAGTGTTCGCACACAACTGCGTTTGTGGCCTAACGGGTGCTTACTGTGGAAGCTCAGGATTTGGCGCGTATTAGTGGCCTTCCTATATATCGTCGTTTTAAGGTGCCCATTGGGTTTTCGATGGACGAGAACGTCCAGGAACGGCAGTTGATTGTTGGCTTCCGCCTCCATTGTGAACTGGATGTCAGGGAAAACAGAGTTCAGGACATCATGGAATTCAGTGACCATTTGCCGCTTAATGATAACGAAGGTATCGTCGACATATTGAGCCCAAAATTTGGGCTTATATGTTGAGAAAACGAGGGTCTCTACTTTTTGGAGAACTGCCTCCGCGATGAAGCCCGAGAGCGGCGATCCCATTGGCGTCCCCTTGACCTGCTCGTAGGTCGTGCCTTCAAAGGTAGAGTACGTCTTCAGGCAGAATCTCAGCAATTGGACGAGATGTCTCCTTTTTACCGTCACGTCCGTCTCGTTGTACTGAATCTCGAGCAGCTCGCTGACCGTTTCGATTGCCAGGTCTTGCGGGATCGAGGTGAAAAGAGAGATGACGTCTAATGACACCATGACCTCGTCTTCGGTAAGTCTCATCCCTTTGATCCGCTCCAGGAACTGAGTCGCTGAACAGACCGTCGTACCCGCGTCCGAGGTGAGAGACCTCAGGTTTCGGAACAGCCATTTGGCCAAATTGAATTTAGGTGCGCCGCGCAATGATACGATTGGCCGGAGGGGGACCCCGGCTTTGTGTACCTTTGGTAGTCCGTAGAACCTTGGCGCGGCCGCGTCTACTGGCTTAATGGCCAGTCGTACCGATTTACTTATTGCCTTGCTCGTTTGCATGTCGGCGAGTGTCTTGTCCAGTTGCGTCACCAGCCTCATTATCGGTTCATCGTTACATGGTAGGTACCCCTGTCGGTCCTCCAGTAGGGCATTGGCTTTCTGAATGAAGTCTGCCTTATCCATCACAAGACAACCGATGAGGAGGCTGGTGACAATAAGCGCTCGCTCATCAGGTTACGGAACATGCTCGTTCCGATGTGCCTTGGGGCTCATACTAGAACCCTCGCAGGCAGTCGCACAGCGACTAGTAGTAGACATAGATGAGATGGTACCGACAAAGACAAGGGAGACTGGAATGGCCATTTCTGGCTTATTAGCCGTCATCAGCCAGTCATACCCAACCCCAAGTGTGGATCACTTGAGATTCGAATCCGGGATCTTTGGTCATGGAGTTTGTCGCTCTACCATTGAGCCACGGGCCCGTTGTCCTGTCGGTTGTGATCGGGAATATTAATTATGACAGTAAGCGCTCGCTCATCAGGTTACGGAACATGCTCGTTCCGATGTGCCTTGGGGCTCATACTAGAACCCTCGCAGGCAGTCGCACAGTGACTAGTAGTAGACATAGATGGGGTTGGGTATGACTGGCTAAAGACGGCTAATAAGCCAAAAATGGCCATTCCGGTCTCCCTTGTCTTTGTCGGTACCATCTCATCTATATCTACTACTAGTCGCTGTGCAACTGCCTGCGAGGGTTCTAGTATGAGCCCCAAAGCACAACGGAACGAGCATGTTCCTTAGCCTGATCAGTGAGCGCCCACTATCATATATATATGTGTATATATGTATAGGAAATATGTAAGACTCTTCGTGAACGAAATTACTTTGATTGTGCAAATTTTCGACTCTGGCTCCACACCTCGTCATCAGACTTTTGGGCTATGCACAAGCCAGTTAACTATTTAAGTGTGTGAAACAGGTGATTCTGTGTTTGACCAAAGCCTGCGCTAGTGCGTGTCAATGGTCTTTCGTCACCCCCGCGGCATTGGCTGCGCTCGCCGCCATTTGACCTTGAGAAATTTGTATGTGACATCCAAATAGATACGCCAATTTATGCATGTCTCATTTGAGTGCATTGCTTTCAGGAATTTTTGGCCTTTCCTTATTGGGCAGGCGTCAATCATGTTAGTGTTCTCCCATGCAAAATTATGCCCAGTGTCCAGTGTGTGCATAACCACCTGAGATATATGATCTCGTCTTCGCATCGCCTACTGCTGCTCATGTATGCGGGTTGAGGCCGATTTCCCAGTCTGGCCACAACAGACGGCATAACAAGTGACACAGGTGGTCTTGTAGACAGCACCTTTTCTGTCGAGATAAGCAACCTTGTCCTTAGGGTGTACAAGCTGTGCACGCAGGGTGTTTGCAGTTTAGTGTGCTACTTTTATCTGATGTTTTTTCCAGCAGTCTTTCGACGAGTTCAGATGCATTATTCACGTATAGGAGACTCCACCAGGTGAATGTTTTTGATGCCTGGGTGGCCATAGTTTTCGAAATACCTTTCTATTTAAACTCATGCTTCATACAATGACGTACAAGGTCTCGCAGGTACCCTTTGTGGGAAAATAATTCGAAGAGGCATTCCATTTCTGCTTGGTAAGTTTCTTCATAAGAGTAGTGTTCTTTTGCTTGGTTTATCAGGCTGCAGACGGTACACCTCTTGTGAGAGACAGGATGATTACTCTCAAAATGTAGGATGTCCTCTAAATTGGTTTCTTTGCGATAAACAGACATGTGAACGGATCCATCAATTTTCAGGCATACGAGGGCATCCAGAATTGGGAGTTTTCCATCAACATCAGTTTCGAAAGTGAACTTGATTGCTGGAAATATGGATTTTAGATTCGTGTAAAGTCCGTCTAATGGGTGGCCTTTTGACAATGACAAATATGGCATCAACGTAGCGCAGACGTAGTTCTGGGTTTATTTGAGAAAGGGCTGTAGGTTCCAGTTTTTGCATTATGGCTTCTGTTAGAAAGTCAGTTATAAACATTCCAGGCCGTAATTTGGCTATTGTTTTCTGTGCTGATGTGCGTTCGCCGCGACAAAATGTTAGAAGCTTGTCTTTAAATCGCTTTCAGTTTTAGAATTAGCAGTTGGAGTTATTCAGGGCTACTGTTATTACAATCCTTCTTGGACTATATTCTACCTTAGTTGTTATTTTTTATGTCAGCGAAGTCTGCAAGGCAATTCAAACTGAAAAAGCGAGAGCAGCGCCTTTTTGGAAAATTAAAAGTTTTGTTAAATAACTCGAGTTTTTATGTAAGAAATTTAGCCGGACAGTCACAGAAGCGAAGGCTCCTTTTTCTTAATTTTTCCCAAAGGTGATAGAGGCAGGGTACTTGAGCGTATATTTTAGTGAATTAACTGCGTGCCAATAAGACGGCGCAGGAGGGAGTAGCCACCTCAACGTATTCTTAAATCTAGGTATATTTGTTGTCCTTGGCACATGCTTTTAGATGTAACACGAGTGAGGACTGCGACAGACCCATACACCACACGTCAGGATACGTGCGCGCCGCAGCATCGTGCAAACCTTTAATGAACCGCCAACTTGGAGAAAGTTGCACGACACTTGAAGTTAAATTGGCCTAATCTTGGCACTCTGCCAATTACACTTTTGCCGGCAACAGTTGGGGACAGCCAACTCTCCAACAGGAGTAAGGGTTAGAAAAGTTAGTGGGCGCCCTGGTTTTCTACCATATCAATGTGTACAGTACAAATCGGTTGATTAGTCTCATATTCATCCTGGTTTATGTCCTGAATGACATCAAGTGATATTAAGACTTACAATTAATCCGTGTATTCATAATATGTATATATATTTATTCTAACTCAACTTTGAGAAACTCGGCGTCATAGAATTGATGAGATTTTACAGTTGGGTCAGAATAATCATGAAGAGTCTGCCAAAACATTTATTAATGTGGTAGCGGGACGCTTACCTATTGTTCTTACGGAACTCACTCATCTTCTTGTGGCTTAGGGTTCTCTCTGGAGCTTAACCAGCAGCCGCACAGCAGCGCTCCTCTAACATTGTACATTCCCGATCAAAAACCGACAGGACAACGGATGCACAGCTCAGTTGTTAGAGACCTCGAGATCGAGCCCCAGGTGTTCCACACTTCGGGATTGGTTATGACTGGCTGACGGCGGCTGATAAGCCAGAAATGGCCATTCCAGTCTCCTTTGTCTTTGTCGAGAATAACATTCTATATATTAACATTCTCTGATGTGAACTTTTTAATCCGGTGGGCTCTCTTGCTATCAGACGAGTGGGTTTTGCATAAAAACAGTTACCTGCAAACTGTTTTTAACAATTGTTTCTGCGGTAGATTGAAACTTGTGTTAATGGGCTTCTGGTGTAATCATCTACCCGACGGGTACTAAGTGTGTTGTGCAGAGTCAAAAAGGCTGGAGACGCGGAAGTGTGCAGGCGGCTGGAATTGTGGAAACCCGCACCAAGGCGTGCCATCGCACCCTTACTCTAGTCTCATAAAAGACTTCGCGATCGAACCAAACGCACTGTTCTGACAACGGGCATCATTAAAGAGAGAGTAATTAATTTTTCAAACAGTTTCTCTAAAATGAATGTTCTGAATATTTTGCAGACCGAGGCATGAGACCATAACAGTTAAGAGAAAAAGAAATTCAACTCACTTGCTCTGATAAAGCGCTCAACAGAAAAACTGGCTAATATATTTACTCTCGTTTAAAGAATATTGCGATCATTCCATGCACGCTGATGCGATTTTTAAGCTTCTCTCAAAACTTTTGCGATTTCCGTTACTGTTAGGCTATCCCTAATTAAGCCTTGTAGCAGTCGGCTCAGGGTCTTGAAATATTTCATAAAGTTACCTGGAGTTTTTTTATAAAAACTAATGAAGTATGTTTGCACGGATGTCACTGACACAAAATCAGGAACGCCAATGACTCAGTAAACTTTTTTTCAAAACCCGTCAGTTATAAATTTGGCAGAAGCATTTCAAATGGGGGAGTAGAAAATAATGAAGACGAACTGGTGGATTTAAACAAAAAATTGAAAATACAAAAACTTTAAACGAAATCTCTCTATTTAACGTTTACCCTATATTATAAGCTGCCACTTTTTAAATCGTTGAACAACTTTACAAACACCGCAAATTTTACTCACGCTTACATATATTTCTTAGTTGCTAAATGTAAAGAAGGATCCCCTGTTCGAATAACAAATATAAAACGGCTTTTGTGTCAACATTCAACATTTATTGACACAGTGGGTAAACCATCGCACGAATTTCACATGTGGCATGTTCACATGTGGCATGTTCACAATTTGATAAACATATGCGGCATTGCGGCCAGGTTCGCGATCATATCTCGGACACTTACAAAAGTGCTAAGAGCGGATCACGCATAAACCTGCTGACAGAAAACGCGCTGCCCTCCTATGAGTCTGCAGTGGTTTGTTTTTACAGCACATTTTCCTAATTCGCTGAGCATGCCTTTTCAAACAACCAAAGCCGATGACATTTCCAGGTTACGTTCGCGCACATCCTAAAAACGCCGTCATATTGAATTCTGATTTTATACTGAGCGTTGAACTGTTAGAAAGCGTCAATGGTCTCATCCTCCCCGAGACATGTCTGATGCCTCAAAAAAATTTCAGAGCAGGGCGTTCGCGCAATATGCTGATAAGCAGTGAAATCTCATAGAGCAGATTCCTTCAGTTGGTCTTTGGACACCGGTTACAGCTATAAGTTGGCAGAGAAGTAGTCTTGAACTCTTAGTGGAAAACTCAGTTCTGTACTTAAAAAACTACGTTACGTGGATAAAAGAAGATGGACTACCTAGAAAGTCAGTCTAAAAAGTTCCCAAAATGACATACACCCTAGCAGGAACCGTGATGTTTGATAGGGTACTGATAGGTTGGCGCTGTTTTTGACAGAGTACGCCACTTACACAACGAACGCGATTTCATCTAACGTCGAAACCAAGACTGTGGTGGTATCTGTGCACTTCTAATAATGCTCCCAACTTCTTAACGCATGGTAGGTTGGTGCTTTCTCTCAATTAACATTTGAACAATTCGATGCGTATCCGAGCAGAGCACGCTTTCGGTATAAAATTATGTTAGGTATGAT